GCAAACCAAGTAGGATAAGACCTTGAAAACTGCATGGCAGTAGATGTTAAGTCACTCAGGATAAAGCATGTGTCTTCATCCCATCCAGTGCTCATTTCTCATCTGTGCATGTTTTAATGCAGTGTGTATAACCGTCTACCTTTTTTTGTTTTTCTTCTATCACCTTTTTCATCCAATGTTGCTTCTCAGTATTGCTGATATCCTGTAGCCTTGTGGTCGCTACGCCCTGTCTACATGCATGCACTCCACCGATGTCTGCATAGCATTTCTTAGGGATGGTTTCCTGATGTTGATAGCAGCAGACCATGCCATGTAATGTGTGTTGAAGCGGCCACTGGTATTCTCCATCAGCAGCGTATGTGACTGTTGGGAACATTTTCTTGTCACCCTAAAACAGGAAGTGGCTCAATAAGCAGTTTCATGTAATACAAATATTGGAAATTACTTTTCAAGTGATGTTGACAGCTTATATAAGATTTCAATAATTGGGTTTACATATACAGTACTTTAAACCAGTGGTTCTCAACCTGTATAACTTCAGAACCTCCATTTGTCCTTGGTCATTAAGTCGCGACCCAAGTCGCACCACACTGGAACACAGGGCATTACGGTACTGCATGTTCAGTGCAAGCAATCAAACTGTGGGAGGGAAGTGTGTTTGGGATGCCATTCAAATGAATCGCAACACACCTCCTGCCCCAGAACGAACAGTAGGTGCGATTTGTGTGGTTTGCAATTTAAAACAATGACACACACACACACAGACATTCTCACACACATACACACCCAAACATTTTTTAGAGGCTAGGTTCTATGTGGGCTGTTATGCTGTGACGGAGCTCCATCCATATGAGCATTGCTTGTACAGCTCCCTTGCATTACCTGTAGAGGTGCCGGGAGCCAGAACATGTCACGAGAGGGAGCTGTAAGGAAGGCACGTGTGGATGGACCTACCTTGCGGCCATTCCCCCAGCCCACCCCACCCCTCCTCAAGCTGACACTTGGTGCCAGGCAGCATATTTTGAATGGCTGCTCGGCATGAGAGCTGACAGTGCTGCTATCGGGGAGGCTGAAGAGCTTCTGGCCTCGTGCAGTGGAAGGCATGTGGCGACCCACCAGTTGAGAACCACGGCTTTAAAACAATCCTTACTACGTCCTTGGTGTGTAAAATGCACCACATCACTGCTGCATAACACGAAAACCACAGAGGTCTGAATGGGCCCTTATTCTGGTTACGTATACCTGTCAGTCATTACCCAGACATTCCGCTAAATTGTTAATTTACCCATGGTCCTTTTCAATGGCCTTGTAACAACTCTGTTTATGGTTGCATGTGTTTCTTCTGTGACTCTCACCAGGCTACGGCAAAAAACTCTTTTTACTTCTCATGGAGTACGTTTATTATTATTATACAGGATTTATATAGCGCCAACAGTTTGTGCAGCGCTTTACAATATAAGGAAGACATTACAATCACAATACAAGACAAGATGGGAAGGAGGGCCCTGCCCCTAGGGGGTTACAATCTAAAAGGGAGGGGGAAGTGATACATGAGGAGGTTTATCTAAAAATGTGTAGTTTTGGTATATGAACACATATAGATATGTAATGTATTTCTTTTTCTTTAGTAAGCTTTAGAATCTGTAGTCCTTGTACAAGTTGATTGTGTTGTTGACATGAGTAGCCTAGTTTTCATTCAGCTTTTCTGCATTCCTGAACATTCCTGCTATTAATGCTTTTCCTAAGAGACTTTTCTCTAAGTGGGTCAAGAAGTGGGGAACCACATTCATTGTGAACAAGGCTTGCAGATTAGCTTCACTTTCAGGGCATGTGATGAATGGCACTTGTAGAAAACAAGAATATAGCTTTTTGTTTTATACACTCTACATAATGCTTACTTTCAGTTTGGGCTTATAGATTTCAAGCTGAACCCAGTGATTGCAGTTATGTGTTTATTGAAAAAAAATAATTAAAGTGAATCTAAACCCAAAACTTAAAACTTAATACATTGTAGCTAAGGTTAAATGCTCATCTTTGTCTAGGGTACCAAAATAAAGGACTTTTACTTACCTTACCCTTCGCTCCCCCAGCAGCAGTTGCTTTCCTCTTCTCCCTTCCATTTCGAGGTGTGGTCAATCCCTAGCTGTCTTTAAATACAATGCACGGCTGTTGGCTTAAAGACATCAGCATGCAACCTCCCGCTGGAAGTTGCCTACAGAAGAGACTGCAGGACCCGGTCGCATAGCGTGGAGTGAGCCTGTGGGTACAAGGGAACAGGTAAGTAATAGTTCTTTCTACTGGTACCCTGGGCCAAAATTAGAATTTAAGCCTTGCAGTGGTGGAGAGGACCACTTGGCTTGTGTTCCTGATGTCAGCCAAGTGCCCTCCAGATCACAAATAATGTATTGTGCGCTGCAGATTACGTTACCCTTACCTTTTGCAGGCTGGGTTTTATTTATTGCTTCTCCCAATGGGCCTCCTGGGGTGGAAAGTAGCCTGCAGCAACAAAGGTGCTGAATGTGTTTCTATATGAGGACTTTGCACTCATTGATGCTGGCCTCCTGCATTTGTTTTACTTAAATTCCAAAGAAATTATTGTGGGAAGTAAAAAAAAAAAAATTTGTATTTCCCTGATCAATTTCCTATATGTTTAAAGGAGAACTATGGGGTTAAGGCTTTTCCCCATAGTTCTCAGGGTAACGGGAGGACACAAACTAGCGTCCTCCCGTCACCCTAAGCTCAGTATACCGTGAGCTACAGCTTCCGATATACTGAGACGCCGCAGCTGACGCAGATCCTGACAATTATGTCTGGATCCACCCAGCTGCGTGAGTGACAGCTGGCTCTGCATATCTAGAGGCAGAGCCAGCTGTAGCCGCCCCCTCCCCCCGTCCGATCCGCCAGTCAGCGCTGGCAGATCGGAGCGGGGAGGGGGGAATCCTGCCCCTCCTCTGTCACGGCAGAGAGCTGTGACAGGATCGAGAGGTGAGCGAGCGCCGGTATGTGTTCGCTCACTTCTCGATCTACTGAGCCGACCTGTGACAGTCTCATTGTCACAGGTCGGCTAGAACTATGAGGTGAGTGAAAAGCACTCACCTCATAGTTCTCCTTAAAATGTACCTGTCTCTAAATGCAATGTACAGTATATCCCACCGCACACCTTAACGGTCTGCGCCTTGGAAATGGGTGCCACTGTGGTCCACTGCTTAAATCTGAACAGATAAGATATGACTCCAGCACGCCAAAGGGAAGCTGTAGAACGAACGTCTTTATTGGCATGTGCCGTGCCCATCATGTCACAAAGAAAGCAATGTTTCAGGGTCACTGCGGGTGGCCCTGAAACAATGCTTTCTTTGTGACATGATGTGCACATGCTTTTCTTTGTGACATGATGTGCACATGTTAATAAGTTTGTTGTACAGTTTCACTTTGGTGTGCTGGTGACATATCTTGTCTATTTTGTCTTTAAATGCAAGACGCATTCACATTATCTAATCTACGCTTCAATGCACAAAATTCTATCTTTTCTTAATTCTGCTAAACTGAATGCACCCTAACACAAGTAAGCACACATTGTGAATTATACCATTTTAGGATCATTGCATGTATGTTTAGAAATGTTCTATACATGCATATAAATACTATACATATAATGTCATGCATGAATGACGTTTTTAAGTAGTTTCTAAAGTTTCAGCATATACTAACTTTTAACATCAGTATTGTAATCGAAATACATACTAGAGTTGTTTTTTGTGAATGTAATCAAATCTTCTATGTAGTGAGTGCTACCTTCTGTCTGCCCATCCTGTTTAACAACTTCCTGGATTCCCAGTGTGCATTGCGCTTTTCCCTGCTGGTTGATGTGATGTAAAGCCCATAATGCATTGCTCCCAGCAAGCAATGATAATGTTGCATTGTTCAGACGTTTAGTTGTCGTTCAGAAGGCAGGTTCTGTGTGAGTTGTGACACAAGGAAGTTAGTATTCACATGGCTGAGTGAAATTGTGTCAGTGTATTAAGGAAGTACATCCTATGGGAATCTTCAATAGGTAAGTTTACACACTTCTAGATCAATATAGTTATTAGGAGTGGGATAGAACTTATGGAAATTCAGTATAGAAACACATATTTATTTTGAGTTTTTGACCATTAAATGCCATTTTAAAATCTTCCACAAAATTTAACAAGACTAGTGTGCATTATAAACTTTACAGATTGCCACAGACAATAGAGGGAAGGGGAATGTGCTGATACAATTTAATTGCCCGTAGGTATCTGCACATACCAGCAAAATGTTGAATATGTACAGTCAGTGATGTATGGAAAACAGTTAGGGAGGAATGGCTTTCTAACCTTTTTTATTGCTGCCCCCCCATTTTAGATGTTCGATATCTCCTAAGAATATTGACTCCTATGTTTGTTTGCTTGTTTTATATCGTTATAGCTAATAGGTCTTACTGTACACAGATGACGGGGCACCTTTTTTAAGGGTTGCTTCATCACTTTACACTTGATCGGGGAAGTAAAGCTGCAAACTCTCGGCTTGAGCTGGTCCTGAACCCGGTCATAGATACAGGACACATTCAGTACAATGTTAGATACATTCGATTTATGTGGACTGATCAGGAGAAATTCTAAGCCCTTCAAGCAGAGGACATGGCACACTAGATCTTGGGTATTTGGTAATGAAGCAAGGGAAAGGAAGATGGCCTCGGAATCTAGACTTTGAGTCAGTTGAAATAGTATTTATACTTTTAGATATACATGTACTCTTTTCTCCTCTTTTCTCCTCTGCAGTGTCCTCATTGAAAGAATGTTGCTTAATTCCTTTCCTAGTGACCACAGGAGTAGGGAATTCTACTTTTTAAGGAAGTTGCATGTCTAATTTTTTTGAACCTTAATTAAAAAAAAATGTAATCCAATGCAATTATTTTCTTCTGTAGGTATTTTGGCTTTAGATGTGATTTTTTTTTTTTTTTTTTTTTTTTTTCTTTTTTTTTATATGTGTCACCTTTTAAGAAGCAAAGGCCATTTGAGACCAGCCTTAGCCCAAGGGAGTGGTGCAGGCAGGTTCTGGATAATCCATCTCCTGAAATAGAAGCAGCCAAACGATCCCTCTGCTTTCGACTTGAGCAAGGTAATCGATATAATATTGACGTGTATTAGGTTGACTTTGATTATGCAGCATTTTATAAATGTGATGGTCCTCCTGCTTGTCAAACACAATGGGGGGAATTCATCAAAACTGGAACAAACACAATCTGGAGCAGCTGTCCACAACAACCAATTAGCCTCTATCTTTTATTTTCAAAGCTTAACTGAACAAACTTAGGAGAGAAACTGATTGGTTGCCATGGGCAACTGCTCCAGATTGTCTGTCTGCTCCAGTGTTGATAAATTCCCCTCAATGTATAACGTATGCATAGAAGCCAGAGATACACGTACGAAGTGAAGCAGATAGAGGATGAGTGTGGATCAGGTTTAATGTAAAATGAAATGGAAAAGGTTATAAGCTGTGGCAAAGAATATCAATATTGTCTCATTCTTTGAAGAAATACATTACGGTGCGTTTGTTGGAATGCCAGGCTAGATGTTCTGCTCCAGCCAAGCTAAAAACACAACTGCCATTTTCATCAATCTCTGATTTCTGGGCAGATGCTGGTTAAAACAGGGAAGCTCAGACAGGAGGACTGCTCTGAATTGCCATGTTAATGCAGGCTTAAAGTGACACTAAACTGAGGTGTTAAACCTTACAAATGCATTCAAGCGCACAAATGTATCTTATTTGTGTATCACTTGGCTGTAGATCCTCAAATCATTTCTGAATTGGTGCTGACACTGTCCTTCCTTCTGGAGGGTGGCTACTTTTGTTCCCCATGGTCCTCAAGTCAAATAAAAAAGCAGTTCCAGGTGCTGTACTAACACAATCTCCAGCACTGTCCCCCATAGACTCACCATTTTAATTCTTTTGTATCCGATTAATTGAAAAAATAATCGGCCAACTAATCGGTTATGAAAAATTAATCATTAGTTCCCCACCCTTTAGATTGTAAGCCCTCACGGGCAGGGCCCTCCTTACAATCTTGTCTTATAATGTAAAGCGCTGCGCAAACTGTTGGCGCTATATAAATCCTGTATAATAATAATAATTATTATTAGTTGCAGCCCTACTTTATTTTGCCCAGAAGATCCTTATGCCAAAGAAGTGAGTATATATGAGTGGATCATGGGTGCAGTGCTCTGGCTTTTGCAGACTCTTCCTCTTTGTCCATGTCCGTACCGACCTGATTGCTGGGTGGTCACGGAATCACCCACCACAGCCGATTGTGCTGGAGGTGCTATTATTTACTAATGGCACCCCAGTCGCGCCTGGCGGATCGAGTGGTTTCCCGCCGGGACTCCGCCCGTGCAATTGAACACAATCGTGGTTAAAAAAAAAAGCTGCACGTTGTGTGGTGCAAAAAAAAAGGTACTTGTAACCACATCGAAATCAATGGGGCCGTGCGGAAACCTATGTGTGCACTAGCACACGTTCGCTTGGTCCCGGAACACGCCCAAGTCTGAACCTAGCCTCAGTGACATGGGCTGGAGGAAGAATTAATGGGCTACAAGTGCAGTGATGCCGTTCCATTGAGAGGAAGTGCCTCTGCCGCCGTGGTTGATGGGACTGTCAAAGGATCTGTGAATGGATGATGCAGCTATGTTCAATTAAAAAACAAATAGCAGCAGCCTGCAGGGAGAAAAACCCTGCAAATCAGGTTAGTGTGTGTGTTGGTGTGGGTGATTACAATATTACCATGTTTCATGTTACACCCTGAATATGGGTATAACCTGAAATATGGTCCAAAAGGTGAATTTAGGCTTTAATTTTGAATGAGCTGCAACTGCACAGAAACAGAGCAAAAAACTAAAACATTTTTTTTCTCTCAGCCCGATGTGCTGCAACACATAGCGCAGAGCTGCATTGCTTTAGTGCATTGTGGCGCCATTCAAAATGCATGGCAGTGCAACATGCTAATGCACATAACGTGTGGTAACATGCAGTGGCGTAACCAGAGTTATGGGTGCCCGGGGCAGAACATTTTTTTTTCGCCCCCCCACACTTAAAACGGCACGCACTGTGTGCAGCTTCTGAGAAGATACGCTATTAGCATAGCGGGGAAGGCGGCTGCGCATTTTGCATTGCTCCCGCTACGCTAATACCGTATCTTCTCAGAAGCTAAACACAGCGCGCGCCGGTTTAAGTAGTAACTCCAGCGGGCGGCCCTTTACAGTGCCTGATTGGAGGGCCGCGTCTGCCTGATCCAGCCTGATCCTGGATCAGGCAGACGCGCCCTCTAATCGGGCACTGTAGAGGGCCGCCTGCAGTGGCCTCGGAGGAGCGAGCGGCCGCCCGATGAGAGAGCCGGGTGCATGTGGCAGATAGAGGGAGCCACTGAACATGCGGCCAGGGGCTTAGTTTTAGCGGGGGTCGGTGACGACGCCCCCCCCTCAGCCCTGCGCCTGGGGCAAGCGCACCCTGGCCCCCCGGTTGTTACGCCACTGGTAACATGCGATGCATGAACGCACGCATTACTGCAATGCACCTGATTGCCAAGGCATGTTTTGGCCCAAAGACCTCTTCTAACAGGACAGCCTAGACACAAGTCAGTACAACAGAGTTAAAGAGACTGTCATTATAAGACACGTTCATTGTAAAGATAAATACTTACCTCTCCTGATCTAGCCAGTATTGAAGAAAAACCTCCAGCTGATGATCCTGCAAAATTCAAGAGTTCAGGAGTTATGTCACCACTGTCTCCTGTAGTGATGTAGAGGCCGGCGGGAGAAACTACAGTCCACTGCAGGGGAACAAGGAACAGACGTTCTTTAGCCGGAGGTTTTCTCCTCACTGCTGAGGGGATTGGTGACAGAATACTCGCTTCTCCTGCTGCCCCTATGTCCTCTTTATTTATTATTTCTAGGGAACAGTATGTTTTGAGCATATATTTTTAGAGAAAAATTTGCTTTAACTCCGGTCTATGCTGGCCAATAAGAAGAAGCCTTTATCATTACAGGTAAGTGTATGTGAACTGCACATTGAAGTACATGGAGATGCTATGTAAATAAGGATAAATGTCACAACAATTAACTTATTACTACAAGCCCATAAATACTGATTTGCTTGTTGACTCAGTAAAGGTTTTTCATAGATGTGGTATGGTTTTGCATAATCAGTGCAAACTTTACAGAGCATTACATTTATTTAAAGGTCTTGATGTGCTTTCTCCTATTTGGAGAGAATTATTTGCATGCTTTTAACAAAGAGCATGGCCTAGAATCTCCCTACTTTCTATTTTGAATCACAGTGGAGGATGTGACGGCAAACAAATCACCAGCAATTTATTGTTGTAATTGCCATTAAGTTTCACTACCTTTTTGCTGTTCAGTTGTTTTGGACTAGTAAGTCTGCCTGTGGTGTTTCTGGTGCTGCTGCAAGTCCAGATGTTGCTTCATGGCCCAATAACAAATGACCATTTTTCCTGTGGCAAAGCAATGGTAGAAATCCCATTCTTACTATATGACTAATTGAAGGACTGTTTTGAAGCCTGTTCCAAAAATGTACATGTGGCATTTCTGTATGGGTACATGCGCCAAGCAGATGGTGGACATGTGTTACACAAATTCATGTGTTTTTTATTTTTGTGTTTTATGCATTGGTAGAACATCTTCAACATCTCGCATAGTACTGGACCTAAGGAAAAACTAGTGGACGTTCTAGTTGAATGTGTGTATGAAATGGCATGCAGAAATATAATCACTGTGTATGCATAGATGTGAAGGAGCCCTAAGTATGTCTAGTTAGGACTGCTAGCCACTCTAGTTTGCACATTATGGCATCATCAGTGCATTATATCATATTTAAACTCCATTCCTTTTCTCATTTCCTCCAAAAAATGTTATTGCAAACAGCCAAGATGGGGGTGTTTTAAATAAAAAATCGGCTAGCAAACCGCAAGTTAAAATCTTTTCTTCATATCTCCTATGTCAACTATCAAAAGCTAGCTGCCAGTTCTTGACAGTTGAAATAGACTAAAGGAAGCGGAAAACTCCATGGCAGAGGGACAAAACTTTTCTGCTTCCTTTATTCATTTTCCATTTGTCTTGATACCATCAAATGACACCAGTCTAAGGGATTTCTAGGCTGCAACTGGCCATGGGAGATGTTCTGATCGTCTTGGATCCACCTCTTCCCTACAAAACATATGAAAGTCCAAGCTGCACACCGCTGCTTTGCTTGAATATCAGTAAGCTTTAGTGGTATCAAAAACAGTCCAACAGACTTTTTTACTTCCAGCTAGACACAACCTTTTTGATTCGTTTCGTCCACAATATGGGCTTAATTATAGGGGTTTTGACTAAGCCCATATTGTCGGAAAAATTTATATGGAGGAATCGGAACTGGCGGAGAGTAACGTGTCTGACTGACCTGGTTTGGTATAATGAAGCTTTTTGTGATTCAAGCAAAGATCTAATAGTAAAGGGGCTGGCTGGTTAGCAAAGGTACTCCTTCTCTTCCTGAATACTAAAACCAGTGACTGGGGCTTGGATGAACCATGCTGCAGGCCTAAACTCAAGAAACCGTTCACACTAGATGCAGAGTCTGACTTTTTTTCCAGCAACTGAACATCCACTGCTAGGGCACATGCCTCATTCACACCGCAACGCGGGTGTTATCTGCAGTGGGGTGCACTGCAAAAAAATGCAGACATGCTGCAATTTTTCGCATTGCACTGGATTATGCCACAGGTCACTACAGCACCTGAAGGAGGGCACAGTTTGTACATTCCAAATAACGCGAAACAGAAAAAAATTTAAACAGTGACTGCTTGGGCAGTATGCAATTCACCACCGCAGCTGTCACAACACACTAGCCTGCCCGCTACAATGCTCTGTTTTACCGAGGGGCTACTGTGACTGGGCCCTTAAAGTTGAAAGCGTAAACAACCCTACACATTACTTTAATTTTTAATTACAAGTCTCATCAGTCATTACACGATTCAGAAAAACCATAGTGGTGCTCAGCATGTTGCCAGACCATTTGTATGCTTTTATTGGCGTATTCTCTTAATATAGCCAGTGATGTCTTAATAGGAG